CTAGCTTTTTTTAAAAATTATATTATCTTAAAAATAAGCTCTATTCATTTCCTATGACTTGACACATTTCTAGAATAGGGCAGAAAACTAGGTCTAGAGAAGTGTCCATTCGTATTTAGTTTTTCCAGATACATACAGGAAACAAATTGACAGGATCAGCTTTTAGCCCTTCTTTGCTGTTTTCAGTGTTAGTTTTAGTTTGGGTTGTAGAGTCTTCAGAGTTCTTCTTTTAGTTATACATAGGCTTTGAAGGCTGAATGCCTCCTAAAGTGAATGAGAAGGTCTGCTTCAAATTGTGTGCCAAGATCAAGACTAGTAAGCAAGGCTTATTTACAATGTGCTTCATGTATGAGCACATTCGTTTGCTGGGCAAAGAGTATGCTGGGGTCTGGGAGAGCAAGCAAGGCTTGTTTACAAGTATGTAACTTCTTTATGTTGTGCACCTATGCTTGCTGGGCAGACACTGCATAGAATTCCAGAACCCCCCCCAAAAAAAAAAGAAAAAGAAAAAGTAGCTTCCGAAAGCCAGATTTTTAAGATTTCAGGTTTCCTTGCCTTTGTTCTCTTCTGTTTTTTCCTTCTCTTCTTCCTTCTCCATTTATTTACATTTCAAAAGTACACTTAAATGTGTATATGTTTGGGTAGGCATGCATGTGGAAGTGAGAAGATAGATAGAGAGATAGAGTCATCTCTCTCCCTCCACCATGTGGGTCTTGGGGACTGAACTCAGGTCATCATAATAAGGCTTGGTGGCAAGTGCCTTTACCTGCTGAGCTATCACCCACCCACCCACCCACCCACCCACCCACCCACCCATCCATCCATCCATCCATCCATCCTGGGAAAGTCCCAGACACCCAAGTTAAATAATTATGGAAATAAAATTGCAAGTAATAAAAACCTTCGAGCACTCACTGGAGCACATGTAGTGATACATTGTTTGTAATCTAACAAATAAAGCTTACTTAAAGATCAGAAAAGCCAAGTAGCCAACCACTAGAGAGTTCTTACCCCTACCAAGGCTAAGGCCAAAAGGTGGTGATCCTGTCCTCAGAGTGACTGCAGACCACAGTGCTCTCAACCAAACCTCAGACTGGTCTCTGAGACTGCACTGAGCTCCTGCCTTCCTCTCTAGTGCTAGGATTAAAGGTGTGTCATCCTAAGTTCTGGGATCAAAGGCATATACTGTTCTGTAGCCCAGGGTGGCCTTGAACTCACAGAAGTCCATCTGCCTCTGTCTCCTGAGTGCTGGAATTAAAGGTGTGTGCCACCATTGCCTGTCCTCTATGGCCAATTAGTGGCTTAGGTGTGTGGTTGACTAGTGGTTTAGAATGTGTGTGGCTAAAAAGTGGCTTAGCTCTTCATTCTGATCCTCAGGCAAGCTTTATTTGTTTAAATAACAAATAAACAATATCACTACATGTCCTGCAGACACATCCTATGAGATGGAAGAGAGTGGCTGCAGGATGGATTCACTGGGAAGTGGAAGTTGGCATACCCCAGCCTACTATAGAAGAGTTTGGAAACTCCTGAGGGGAAAAACCTTTAGGCTGCTGTCTTTGTGTTGCCAGTACTGTGCATAGGGCCTGGCAGTTGGTAGCCCATGATACATGAGTTAGAATCCTGGGTGACAATCCTAACATCCATACTGGTAAACTCAGTATATTCACCACAATGCTGCTACATTGTTATTTCCCAAACTTCTCTTTTCACAGCTTATTCTCCTATATTTGGATTTAGGAAATCATTAGTTCAACACAGTTTTGATCACCTGCTAAGGCCTAAGCATTCTTCTAAGTAGGACATGGGAGTGTGTCACAGTTTCTACTGAAAACCTTGCAACCTCATTTGTGATGAAACCTACCCCAGAAGCTGAAGTAATATGAAAGGATGTCATAGGCTCAGTGATTGCCTCTGTGCTGGCAGAGATGGTGGCCTGGAGGAGAAATGGAAGCAGGAGGCTAGACTCCTACTGATGGTGACAGTAGCATTTTAACAGTGCTCAACAGTTTGAAACCTTTCTAAGAATAGTTACCTTTTTCTCTTTTATAAATCACTCTTCTTTTACAGTGTTAATTCATTTGTGCTACTAAAACTCCCCTTATTTAACTGGAGTGCTAATTTTCAAGATAATGTATTTTTATTTTCTGAGCATTTGCTGATATATGTCTGTGTGATGTGTAGGATCTCTTGGAACTGGAGTTACAGACAGTTGTAAGTTGCTGCCATGTGGGTGCTGGGAATTGAGTCCTGGGTGCTCTGGAAGAGCAGGCATTGCTTATAACTTCTGACCATCTCTGTAACACCCAGAGTGCTCTTTTTAACACTGTTAAATGTTTTCTACTAATATCCTCTTATTTTGCCTCTTGAAGTCATTGTGGCTGGTGACACCTACTCCTGTTAAAGTGAGGCCGGGGGCCTTGTTTGAACTGACTGTGAGCAGCACATCCAAGAAGCTTTCAGAGCATCAGAGTATACCTTGGCACAGAACTTGATTTCTTGGTCCCTGGGTTAGTTGGGTTCCAGATGGTGACTATTTTGTTAACTGTCCTAGGTGGATCACACTTGGTGACAATGGCCTTGAGATTCCTGCCAAAGATAGATGAACATGTGGCATGAGTTAAGATGTTAAAATTTAGGAGGTTGTGCCTCTGCAGCACTGTGTACCTATTTTAGCTGAACCATTTTTTGGTTACCCTGGTCATCTAATTTCTACATTATCAATGAGCTTCATTTGTTCTTGCTGTCCCATACAGTCTGACCTTGTCATTGAACCATCCACAAGTTCACTGAGCTGTAGTGTAATTTGACCTGTTGGAATTTAGTACTGTGAAGCATGATTTCTACCCTGTCTTCATGGGAGAAGAAGCTGTTGAAAGGTAGTGAGTCTTTAGCTCAGCATTTGCAGGAGCTAGGCAAGGCCAGTATGCAGTAGAACTTCAGTATGCAGTAGAACTTCTGGGCAGTGTGAATGTTCCATATTCTCACAGTAATCTTCAGATGTATGTAGCATTTGGGCACTTGAAGTGTGGCTAGTGTGATAGAAAGACTAGCTTTTTTGTTGTTTATGACTGTCTCAGCCCAGGCTGGCCTTAAGCCTTAGGTTCTCCCACCCAGCCTCCAAGACATTACAATTCTAATGTGCTACCATACTCAACTCAAGAAACTGATTTTAACCTGGATAGTACAGTGGCACTCTAGCGTGGTGTGGTTTATAACAGTACTGCTGGGAAGGAAGTAAAGCATTTGTATGATGTGTTTAACATGTGACACAATGAGATGCTAAGTTTTCAGTTGCTCAAATTGTGTGTTCCTATTTAAGAAACTCTTTTTTAAAAACTTCTAAAAAAGTATGTATACCTTGTAAGGTAAAGGATCAGAAAGAGATAGTCTGGTGCTAGTAGGCCTCTCCTGAAGCAAGTGTCCTGTACTGTGCTCCACAGTAGCCAGCCAGGTTCTTATAACTGTCTCTTTGCTGCTCTGTGAATGGCTATGCTGGGATCAAGAGAGTCCTGGAATACAAGAGAGTCTAGGAACAATTCAGTCGTCTCTATTATCATGCCATAAAGATACTGTGGGCTGGGAAGGTGACTCAGTTCATAAAGTGTTCACCATGCAAGCAGGAGAACTTTTCAAAATAGGGTTTCTCTGTGTAACAGCCCTAGCTGTCCTGGAACTCTCTTTGTAGACCAGGCTGACCATGAACTCACAGGCCTGCCCTGACCTCCCAAGAACTGGTATTAAAGGTATGTGCTATGTGCCACCACACCCAGGAAGATACTTACTTTTTTAAATTATCTAAAAGTTTTTATTGCATGTTTATTTGTGTGTGTGTGCATTCACACGTGCATATATGCATGTATTCCACAGTATGCATGTGGAGGTCAGAGACAACTTGTAGGAGTCAGTTCTCTAAATTTACCATATGAGGTTCAGGGATGGGATTTAGGACTCCTGGCTTGGATGGCAAGTGCCTTTACCTGCTTAGCCATCTTGCTGGCCCCTAAAGATACTTAATGAAGCAGATATAGCTGGCATTTGTGACTGTCTTTGTTTCTTTAAGAGGATCCACATTTTGTGCTGGAATAATTTTACTTGTTTAAAGGGCTTTTCATATTTCCTGTAGGGCAGGTTTGTCAGGAATAAGTTCCTTAGTTTTTATATGTCTGAAAAAGTCTGAAAAAGTACTGGGCTGGTAGGGTGCTTTGGTGTTTGTCTTGTCCCATTATGTGCTCACTTACACTGTTTCCAACCAGAACAGGATGCTAGCATTACCTTTGAACAATTAATGTTTCTGTTTTACTCTGGCTGCTTTGGGATTTTTCTATTGGTTACAGGTTTGAGTTATTTTATTGTGCTGAGCCAATTTCTTCATGTTTCATGCACTTGGAGTTTCTTGAATGTCTTGCTAGTTTAATTCCTATAAATTTTGAAATTGATTATTCAAATACATAACTATGTGTATGCACTCACATGCATGTAAGTTTTTAGTTTAAGTGAATTTATTTTTCATCTCATTTTTTTCTCCTATTTTGAGTAGTTGTCAGACATTGTAAATTTTATCATCTTAGGTTCTAGTGTTTTTGAATTCCTATAAATATCCTTGGGGTTTGTTCTGAAACCATAGTAAAGTTAACTGAAAATAGTTTGGTTCTTTGGGATCTTGTAAGATTTGTTCTGGGACAGTCATGGTTGCTGGAGCCAGGTTAGGAGATGGAGGCAGGAGGATCAATTCAAGGCCAGGCTATCCTGATCTACATGAGATCCTGTTTCAAGACATCACTACCACCCACCCAAAAAGAACCAGCAAAAGATTTTTTTAGGCAGGACCAGACCAGTATTTAGACAATGGCTAATTCTTCCCAAATATAAAGACCAGACTTGCTGAGAAACCTTGTCTAGAAAAACCTAAATAAACAAATAATAAATACATAAAGATAAGTCATCTCACTACTTTGTGTCTACATGTGACTCATTGCTTTCTTTTTTCATTTCTGTAGGTTCTGCCAGAGACTGACATTTGGACTCAATATGAAATGAAAGTTGAAAATTGCATCTCCGTGTGTGTTGCTATCATGGTGTTGATTCACTGGTCATGCCTGAAGAGGGAAATTGTGTTGTAGAGAGCTGACTGCTGCGCGGTCACTGCCTATCCTCCATGTCCAGCTCTTCTCCTTTCTGCTGGAGTGAAATCCTCTCCGGATACCAACAGAACGTCCATTGTAGAAAATGCTTTGCATTTTAAGGATGTCAGCAACCTAAGTTCATGTGCCCTGTCTCTACAGTTGTTGTGGATGGTTTGCCATCTGAAAGCACCTCAAGTTCTTATCCAGGCCCTGTGTCTGTTTCTGACATGTCTCTGCTTCATGCATTGGGTCCAGTGCAAACCTGGCTGGGACAAGAGCTCGAGAAATGTGGCATTGATGCCATGATTTATTCGCGGTATATCCTTAGTCTTCTGCTACATGACAGCTATGACTATGACCTTCAGGAACAGGTATTGATGTGTGTTAAGTGCTTTGTGACATTTGATGGCTGTACCTAGTTACATTCTGTTTTTGTGATAAAAAATACCCCCAACAGTAGTTTAACTTGAGAGAAAGTTTATTTGGCTCAGAAATTCAGATTATGGTTCATAATGACAGGGTGGTGTCAGTTGCAGGAGCTGGAGAGAACTGGTCTCGTTATATCCAGTCAAGATCAGAGTGCAATGAATGCATGCCTGCTAGTGCTCAGCTTGCCCTGTCCATTCTATACAGTCTAGGATACCCCGCTCAGGGAATGATGCCACCCATAATAAAAATGGGTCTTCTCGAATCAAGTCAAGCAAGACAATCCCTCACACATTCTCAGAGGTGCCTTAACCTAGGCAGTCCCACACAGGTGTGCCTTTAGGCTTGCCTCTTAGGTATCAAGTACTCACTTGGTATTTGCATATTCTTTTTTTTTTTTTTTTTTTTTTTTTTTTTGAGATGGAGGGGCACATGTGCCACAACATTTGTGTGGAGATCAAATGACAACTTGTAGGAGTTGATTCTCTTTCTACCTTGTAGGTTCCAGGCATTGAACTCTAGTTGTTAGGTTTCACAGCAGGCACCTTTACCTCTAAACCATCTCACTAACACTGTGTGTGTATGTACATTCTTAAGGATTTAAATTTTTTTTAATTTTATGCTTGTGTGGATATGTGTGCACCATGTGTGTGGCTGGTGCCTATGGACATCAAAAACTTGGATGCGCAGTTGTAAGCCATCATGTGGTTACTGGGAACTGAACTTGAATTCTTGGCAAGAGCAGCAAGTGCTCTTAGCTACTGGGCCATCTCTTCAGCCCCATAGTTGTATATTCTTAAGACTTCAAGTACTCCAAGTCAGAAATAGTCATTGTGTAGTATGAGGAATTTGTGAAAACTCCTGTCAGTAACAAGATTGTAGTAGAATATCACTATCTGGTCGAGTTATTAACCTCATAGACTTTCTCCTGGTTGCTTACATCCTGATATGGACTTTGTGTATCATCTGTACTGGGAATACATTGATGACCTGCTACCTTTGCATACCACTGCCCTCAGTGTTGATTTCTACTCTTAGGAAAGTTAGTCACATGTCTATTTTATTTCCTTTTGTTCCTAGGTAAATATTGTATTTATCTGAAAAAATAATGTTAAGGCAAATCACTACCCTTAAAAGTCCTGTCAAGCCCATACCTTTACCCGATGTCATTGTGTGTCACTTTTAAGTCTGTCATTACATTTTATTTGATGTGGGTGTTGAGTTTAAAGTCAGAAACAAGTCAAATGTTGGTTCTCAAAAACAAACAAACAAACAAAACAAAACAAAAAACAAAATCCCCAATCTAACCTTATTGTCCAAGAACTGCTGTTAGTCTCCTCCGGAGAGATATCTTCCCAAGTGCAAGAAGGGCTCTAGGTACCCCTATATACAAACTTTGCATACAGTCTTGTAGTTTTTAAAAATTACTAGTCCAAAGAAAGTGGTATTTAAAAAAAAAAGTGGTATTTTGTAATTTTGTTTTAAATCATTGTTACTAACATTGATAACAGAAACAAGCTTTTATTGACTAGAATCTTCTAAACCCACAAAAGAAAGCAAAACCCTTAGAATCCAGTAAATAATATAGAGACTTTCTCTGATGCTCCTAATATTTTCATACATTACTGGTCTAGAGCCTGTTTTGGCTGGTGTTGGCATCCTTGAGCTGGGATCATCTGTACTTTTCTGGCTACTAGTTTGCTTATTGCCCTGGCTAGGAACAAATAAAGTTTGTCTTGTGTTTTTTTTTTTTTTTTTTTTGTTTGTTTTCATCTTTTGTTTTATTTTGATATCCCAGGCTAACCTTGAATCAGAACTGATATAACTGATATATGCCTCAGTTGTCCAAGTGTTGGGAATACACATACCAACATATCTAGCTCAAGGAAAAGTTCTGAAGGGATTGAAAACCTCTTAATCAGTGAGCGGTGGTGGCACACACCTTCAGTCCTAGCACTTGGGAGGCAGGGATAGGCCAATCTCTATGCATTTAAGGCCAGCCTGGTCTACAAAGTGAGTTCTAGGACAGCCAGGACTGTTCCACAGACAAACCCTGTCTTGAACCCCCTCAGTCCCCCACCGCCTCAAAAAGAGAAAAGAAAGAAAAGCTCATAATTAACAAATGTGTTATTTTGGGGTCAGCCTTTTAATTTATTGATGTCTCTCTAGAAAATGTAAAATTGAGTCTTGAAAGGCAAGAAGATAGTTTCTCTATAAACATGGAAGAATTGTCTTTCCAGAAATGAGGAAGTTTTTCATAGCTACATCAGTTCACTGGGAATGTGTTGTTTTCAGTAAGACTTTTAACTTCTCGTTTTTTAGAGTTGTTTATTAGGAGTCTCAATCTAGAAGACTTAATCAACAGCAATATATTTCCCAAGGCAAGGTATTTATGTACCAAGTGCTGTACGATGTAGAGGGTAAAGTATAGATGTAGTCAAAGGAGAGTGTATATATACACATGACTCTGACACGCTTGGTCAAGTGTTCTCTGGTTTCTTATTCATTGAGGTTCTGGTTTATTGCTTAAGACAAAACAGATAAAAGCTGGGGAAAGCACATTATGTCTGGAGTTATAAGGAGGATTTATATGCAAATTGGCAGCCCCAAAGTACTATTGGGGGCATTGTGTGTATATGTGCATGTTCAAAAGTGTGTGAGTACCAACAGAGACCTGTGACATCAGATGATTTTTCCAATGACTCTCACTTTAGTTATTGTGACATGGATCATGCCAACTGCAGCTCATCTCGTGTGCTTGCCTCTCTGTTTCTGCCTCCTAAGTGCTAAGATTATAGTTGGCTACCATGCCTGGCCAGCTTTTTACATAGGTTGTAGGAATCCAAACTCTGCCCTTCACACTTGTATAGCAAGTGCCTTATCTATTGAACATCTCCCCAGTCATCAAAAACACTTTTCTTTTTAGTGTTGCTAAGGCAGAGGATACCTTGGCTTGTGGGCAAATAAAAAGTGATTCTTGTTTTTGTTAAATTTATTTTCATTATGTTTTATTTATGTGTATATGGGCACATTTGTGCAGGTGCTTTTGGAGGCATTTTAGATTCTCCTGAGCTAGAGATATAGGCAATTTGTGAGCCATTCAATATAGGCGATAGGAACCAAACTGGGATCCTCCTAAGGTCAGCCAGTGCTCTTAACCCCTATCCTGCAGTTGTCAACCCCCTGTGAAGGTGGCAGAATGAATGTGTGTTTAAAATTACAACTACCCATGGAGCTAGAGAGACAGCTCAGTGGTTAAGAGTACTAACTGCTCTTCCAGTGGACCCAGGTTCAATTCCCAGCACCCACATGGCAGCTCACAGCTGTTGCTCTAGTTCCAGGAGATCTGACATCTTCACACCAAAGCACATAAAATATATTTAAATAAATTAGTTTTAAAAATCAGAACTACCCATTAGGTGTATAATTACTTTGTAGGAGCATGTAGTGTTAATGGAAAATGTTAAAATAGGAGAAATGTATGTGAGGGATGTGCAAGTCAGAGCAGCAACTGTGCTAATGGTGATGGCTTGAGCTTGGGTCCAGACGAACTGATTTTTCTTTTAGAGACATGGTCTTATGTAGCCTCGCCTGGCTTGAGCTCACTGTATAACCAAGGATTACCTTGATCTTCTGGTTCTCCTGCCTCTACCTACAAGTGCTAAGATTAAGTTGTGCACCACCATGCCCAATCCATGTTATGCTAGGCAAGCAATCAGCTGAACTACATCTGTGGCTCCTTTGTTTACATTTTTAAAAAATTGTTTTTAGTCGTGTGTGTGTGTGTGTGTGTGTGTGTGTGTGTGTGTTTGTTTGCGTTGTGAATATGGATGCCTGAAGAGGTTAGAGGTGTCAGATCCTCTGGAATTGGAGCTACATGTGGTTGTGAGCCACCTGATGTCGGTGCTAGGAATAGAACTCATGGCCTCTGGAAGAGCAGTAATGGGTTTTTAATCTCACTGAACCATTTCTCCAGCCTGTTTACATTTTTTGGGCACGTGTTTTAAAAATATTTTCGTGGAACAAAAGTCTTGATAATATATATTGCATTTTGAAGATTCAGTTTCTGCTTTTTACTTACATGTTATAGCATAATACATGCCTAACACAGTATTGGGCTCAGAGACAACTAAGTATGGGTCCCTAAACGGTATTTGACAGTTTGAAGAGAAACAAAACACTAGGTTGTCTGAGTCTGGGGACAGGGATACCAGGTGACCATGTGTGGGCTGGGGAATGTTGTAAGTGATGGAGCTGTGAGCTGAGAGCAAGTAGAAGATGCCGAAGATCCCGCTATGGTGTGGATTTGTAGTTTAATCATAGAGACAGGAAACTAGCATTCCACCAGCCATCAGTGTAGAGTTACATGGTAGTGGGGAATGCAGACTTTGGGTTACTGAAGTCAGGGGCCACTGAGGAGACATCCACTATTGGGGAAAGTTGTAGAGGTTAGAAGTGGGTCTAGCTGCTGTGAAAAATCCATTTGTTTGGAGTTTCCTGGGGGTTTTTTTTTTTTTTTTTTTTTGTATTGTTTTGTTTTGTTTTTCTAGCAACAGGTATTAGTTCTTAGC